TTGCGCACACCACCGTTCGCCTTCCGCTTCTTCTCGGACTTCTTCTGACTTGCTTGCTCGACTGCCCTGCTCGGTCCTTTCTTCGCCTCCGTCGCCCTCGCCTCTTGTCTCCTTACCTTCTCTGTTTCTATCATGTTCGCGATACAAACCCTCCATCCAAATTTCCTTACGTAGTTCGACAGCTTCTCGATATCAACCCCCAAGCACTCTTGGCTGTCTCCCTTGGTCAATTTCACCCGGACGTGTTCATGTTCTCTGCCTACTTGTCCCCTTGCTAGGCAGTGCAGTCCCTCCCTGTCACAACAGTTCTTGAACTCTATCCTCGTCATGTCCCTTGGAATCCCAAACAGTGGCAGCTCCAACTTGTCTCCCTTCCACAGTTTCTGCTTCCATCCTCCCGGCTTCTTCACCATCCTCATGATCTCTACGGCAACTGGACCGTGGCCACTTGCACGGGGAGGGAGGGGGTAAAAAAGTTGTGAGTCGATACAAACACGTCCACGCGGTGACACTCGCACCAACAATCGATATCGCTCCCCGTCGGAACACGCCTCCTCCAACTGTTCTTGACCATACCCCCCAATCGAAAGATACAACGAAGTCATGAAGGTTTACCGACGAAGAGCCTGTGGATCAGCTGCAGCCAACATGCGCACGCACGTCCTCTGAGCCTACTGCCTGGCCGCAACTTCGGCTCCAATGCCCCAAACTTCTGCTATGTCGGCTTTGCTACTCCCACCTCAGAGCCTTGTCGGTGCAGTCAGCCCTGTACAATGACAGCGACTCCCTCAACGCGCTCTCCTCCTCGCCTATCACCCGGCGGGTGTACAGCAGCGCCGGGCTCGAAGCCACCGCCACCGCTACCTCGACCGCAGTCGCCTTGACCCTCCCCCGGCGCCCCCCCGCCCCTCCGTCGGCTCTCCTTTTCTTGCCCCCTCCACTCACCCCTGTCTCTTGCTCCCCTGTCTCTTGCTCCGCGCGGGCGCGAGCGGCCGCGGAAGCGCGTCTGATGGCCACGTGCATGTAGTACGCGTCCTCGTTGGCCGGGGTGAGCTCGAATCCGGCGAATGGCCCGTCGAGCGGCCAGGCGTCGGAGGAGGCAGCGGGGCCCATAATGTTGTGCCGGGAGGCCTCGGTCTCGGCGGAGGTGAGGCGGTCCAGGAGGGCCTGTGCCTGGGGCCAGATCCGTTCCGCTCCCTTGAGAACGTCCCTGGGTTTCCAGTGTAACGTGAATTGTTCGTGGGCGGCGGCGGTGGCGGTGGCATCTCAACGGGGGTGGGGAGGGGTTGAAGGAGACTTTGTCATTAATCAACGGGGAATGAAGGTTCCTGGCGGAACAAAAGCATTAACTATCGTCAGAAGAGATACTTGCTGAAAAAGGTGGGAGATGCCGTGCTTGCTGGGGAACTTGGTGGGCAAAGGCATCGCGACGTGTGAGTCGCCCTGCCGACCGATGATGCTTACTACCGCGCGTTTCAGCCCTTTCTGACGTACAGTACCCTATCTGTGGAAGCCGTTTCTGGTTGAGTGCTGAGTGAGGGGAGAGATGACGGTCGAGCAGAACTCGCGACAGGACATTTTCGTGACACGACCTTGTTCGGAACACGCCATTAAGTGGACTGGAAGCGTTTCTGCCCTGCGACGACAAACAGAACCTACCCCGCGCTCGGCATGCGCCAACACAAAAATGATGATGCTACGAGACAACACATACTCCGTACAGCCCAGCACAACGGCCGTGGCAGAGCACACGATGCCCGTCATCGTGACGTACCCGGCCGCCGTGTGGTAGACAGTGCCGGGATCGTTGAAGGTCCTCGCGTTGGCGCACAGCAGCTGCACGTCCAGGGCGAGCTGGTGGATTGACCCATACACCTCCCACTGCAACCGCCGCCGGATGGTCGAGAAATCGATCGGGTACTCGATCTCCTCCGCGTACCCCTCTACGCCGTCGGGCACGGGGTCCTTGAACAGGTTCAGCGGGTCCAGCTGCTGGAGACGGTCGAGCGCGAACGTGGCCACCATGCGCAGCAGGCGCCGCCGTTCGATCGGCAGCTGGCCGGGAAGAGCTTGTACCTCCCACACACCGGCAAGACCGCCGCCTCTAGGACCACCGCCACTACCACCCTCGCCAGCTCCACGCGACGTGCTGCGGCCGCTCGTACCACTGCTACTGCCGCCGCCGCCGCCGCCGCCGCCGCTGCCGCTTGAACCGCCATCAGCTCCACCAGAGGTACCGCCGCCGGTAGTACGCCGCCTACCGCTCTTGCCGCTCCCAACGCTCTTGCAACCTCCACTAGCTTCACCGCCGCTAGTACCGCCACCGCCACCGCTAACAACTCCAAGAGGTGTGCCATCGCGGCGGGGTTTAGTGGCGTCTACCCCTCCGCTCCCGCTGTTCGCTGAGCGGAAGGTATGTAAGACCCTCGCAGCCAGACCCGAAGCCGCCTGGCGATGCACTTCTTTCTCCCGCGGAGCAGCGGCCGCCGGCAGCTAACCGTCGCATTGGCGGCACAATAACGAAACGAATGGTGGAATCGGGCGAGGGGAGCGCGGGGGGAAAGGTCATTTATCGTAACGGTGCTGGCTTTGCTAGCGACGGACAGGTTCGCCATGCCCATGCGTAAAGGGAGGTTCAGCAGCAGGTCCACAAGCTGGGAAACTATGTGCTGGATAGGGTTTTCGAAACTAATAGATGTAGTCCCCGGAACCTTTGAAGCGTTCTCGACGACGACACGGCTTGTGTGGTTTGTTCCCTCGAGGTTAACACGGGTCACCATTACAACGAATCAACGCACGCGTCAACGGTAAAATATATCCCAAGCCATGACTAAACGGTCACCAGGAGAGGTGCTCACTCGAGCCCGAACTGGTCGCGTATCTTCCATCCCTCTAGAGCCCACCTAGTCAAGACATATTGCTCTCGTGCTCGCGTTCTACCGCCGCTCACAGCTCCTCTGCCTACGCCTTTCGTGTGCAACGGAGCAGTTACTACTCAGGATCACACAAACAGAGACGTCCAGAAACCATTATCCTTCGCAGTCCAACTTCGTACGAAATGAGTCACCTTGCCCGACGAGGAGGAGGACGACGACGACCGCTTCACGTCCGCTTTGCCCGCGCCGGCAACGCCGCGGTCAGGCTCTCTGGAACGCCCGCCGCCCGCCGGCTGACCCCTCCCCCGCCTCGGGGCGGGGCCGTCGGCACTCGTGGGAACTCCGTCTCCGGCCCGCGCCGCCCCGCCAAGGGTTGAAGACGGGTGAGGGTTGCGCTTGGGGCGCGCCTTGCGCTCTAGGCACGGCGGGCACAACCACTGGTACATGTTAGATAGCACACGACGACGAGCGAGATGGCGAGCACGGAAATCGATGTTGGGAGGAGGAACGAAAGCGTCCCCTAACTTCGGGCTTCTGTGGAGATAGCTCGACCGAACAAAATCAACAATGCATATGGAATCTCCGGCACGCGCAGGTTGTGGGGTTTCTTGCATGTGTGCGCGTTTTCTCGGGGAGAGGTGTTTCGTACTCCGCTGAATTTCAAGCGCCATATAACTGCCGTAAGGCCAGAAGAGGCAGGCATTAAGATCGGAGCACATGGCACCACCGAAACAACACGAAGTCAGCGGGGGGGGCTGGGGGGCACAGCAGACAGAGACCACCAACAGTATCCTAGCGACACAGCAGTCCGCGTCCTACCTTCACGTCGCCCCCGGTGAGATCGGACAGTTTGATGCCATTCTTCCTCTTCAAGCACGGGAAGCAGAAGGAGTGATTCTTCGCGAGCTCCGGGGTGGAGCAGACCATGAGGCCGCCGTCCGGGTGCAATCGGCAGTACGCGCACACGTCCATCTTGCCCTCTCGGGTCGCTCGCATGTGCTTCAGATTCCACATGCGGTTCTCCTTGCGCAGGGGATCGTTCTTCCCGAGAGTGTTTTTTTCGTTGTCGCCGCCGCCGCCGCCGGCAGTGCTTGCAATCGCAGTGGGTGGCGCGTCGTCTTGTTTTTCCTTCCGCAGCTTGCTGCCTCCGCCGCCGGCCCCTCCGTCGTTGCTGCCGGTCGACGAGGGGGTTCCACACGCATAAATCGGCACACTCCCCGAGCCAGCGCTGCCCTGCCCCGTCCCGGACCCTCCGGCGCCATGCTGCACCCCGCCTCTCTCGTCCCCGCCCACATCCATGTGGTCACTCACCCTACCGCCGGCTCGGGTCTTCCCCCGGCCACCGGCGCCGCCGTCGCCGCCGTCACGCGGTGTCTCGGTGTCTTGCGCCGGGAAGCCTTCGCTAGTGCCACTGTGGTCGCCGCTATTGCTCGCTCCGCACGCCGTATCTACTTCCCCCACCGTTTGTCCCTCCTCAATGCCACTCTTTTCGGGTTGCGGCTTCCAGGTGAACGCACCGATCTTGAGGTCGGGCGACGGCACGCGCGACCGCCAGCCATCTCCCGCAGAACCGAACACTCTCGACGAACCCTCCGCCCCCGCCGCCGCGTCCCTCTTCTCGGCCTGTTGGGTGAGAGAGCGCTCTTCCTCGGCGAACTCCGGGTACCCCGCTTCTGTCGCTACCTCGCTCGGCACGAGCCCCATCTCAACCATGGTAGCCGCTAGGCCAGCGCGAAAGGGTCCCGTCGCGCGAGCGCCGAAGCTCACCGCTGTGCCGTCGAAGACCCTGGCCGGGCCAAGCGCTCCGGCGAAGGGTGCCCCGAGCCTCCGCTTGTCGGTGTAGGCGTGGTGCTTCGGCCTCTTCCCGGCTCGGCGCGAGAGGGGAAGGTGCGCCGCCAGCGCTCCGATCTCCTCGTCGGCCTTTCTTTTGTTGCCGTCCGTTCGCCCCCTCCGGTTGCTGGCGTCTTCGCCGTCCCCCGGGACGCTGCCCGTCGTTGGAGGCACCCCTCCCTCCTTCCGTCCCAGGTCCAGGGGCCCGCCGCCATCGCGGGCGGCGGCCTTCTGCTGATGAGAAGGCGTCCGATTCCGCGGCCTCGGCCTTCTGATGGCGTGCCTCGCGACGATGTGCACGTACTTCTCTTCGTACAGCAGGGAGCGCAGGAGGAGGTTGTCCAGCTCGGGGGAGAAGACTTCGGCCCGACTGATGTAGCACGGCGGGTCAACGACAGCGTTGATGTTGACCACCGTCAACGACACCGCGGATGCTGCTGCCGCCGCCGCCGCCGTACGCTTCGGGTTCTTGCATCTGGCTTTCTTTTCGCCGCTTGTCGTCAACGGTGAGATCGTCAGAGGCGACGGTCCCTCCCACCGCGCGCCACCCTCACCGGCCTTTTCCAGGGAAGACTGCGGTCTGGCCTTGTGGGGTTTCTTCACCCTGGTCTCCTCGCGTTTGGCCATCCGTGCGCGATCCTCCGGGGTCCAATTAGGCTCTCTCTGCTCATTTTTCGGGGGGTCGCACGAAAGGTTTGCGCCATTTGTGTTCCCGGATCGTTGGGATGAGAGGACGTCGTCGAGGCAAGAAAAAGCACGCCGACGAAACGAAGAAGAGGAATGGTTTCAAGGTTTCCGAGGGAAAGGGAGCGTTTTGTTACACATGAGCGGGACCCGCTCCGTGACAAGACTATGTAAGCGAAGGAGGCTATCTACATGGCAAGGCTACATCCGCACAGCAGTTTCTGCAGTGGGCGTTTCGGATCAAGGGTTTGTGACTGTTTCGTGCGACACTCTTACCGTGGGGGTGTGCGTCTGTTGTGTGTACGTCTGCTTGGTTGCTTGTTCGCTCCCTCTCTTATAATAGGTCAATCTGCTGCGTATCGTTTGCATTCGTCCCACCCCCCAATACACCACTGCACCGTGAAGAATGGCAAATGAATCCCCGCACAAGACGTTCACCCTCGAACAGCTATCATCACAAACGATGAAAGAGGTTACGACTGTGCCAAGTGCGAAAAACTGCACAGCTTAATTTTCTGGCGAAGGGGCTGATTGTCTTTGAGGATCTCGCCGTATGTACACCGGGTTCCGTTCTCCGGCGAAAGAATCACAAACATGGGACGGCGTTGCTCCACAAACCCAGAAAAAGCGCAGGCTTACCCCGGCTACCAGATTGACCCGTCCGGCGTCGGTACAGGACGGGCAGTACCACGGGTCTTTCTCCGTTTGGTGGTGGGCGGCAAGGTGGCTATTCGTACCGATCGGGAGGCATTCCTCGTGGAACACCCGGGGGCACTCGTCGCAGCAGGTGATGTCGCCGGACTCGCCGCAGACACTGGCAATCGAGGGCATGAGAGTGGTGGGGGACGGTAGTGTAGAAAGCGAAGAACACAAGAGGGTAAAGAGGTGAAAAGAGAAGAGCGTTCATCACACGCGACCGAGCGCCCGCGCCGCCGGAAAGCCGGGGGAATAAACAGCGCGAGGACACGACACCTGTGCGTAGCTGCTTGAGCAGCGTTTTCGACGCGCTCATACAACAGGACTCACCAACATTTTCGAGTCAGCAACAATCCCATTTCCAACACCCCCTTTTCCCTTTGCTACCTCCGGTCACGTGCCCACCTGCAGAAGAAGTGGTTGCCATCTTCCCCGACCAAGGTGCCGTCTTGCGATACGCTCCACAAGGATACCCCCGCCAAGATTTCGTCCTTGGCCCTCTGAGACACTGCCTGCCCGCCCCAGTCCTTCCCTCCCCAAGCAGACCGCTTCTTCGCCCTCCCCTTGCCCTTTCCGGCTTTCGTGGGACCCGCCCTCCCGCACCGTGGAACGGACGCGGTGGCTCCTCCGCCCGCCGCAATACCGCCACCTCCACGGCCACCGCTAGCAACACCAACGCCGCCCTCTTTGCCCGCGGAGGGCCTCCGTGAAGCAGCGACGCGGGGTTGGTGCTCCACCGGGAAAGCCTCGGCAGGCGTTGCGCCGATGATGCCGTTGCCACGGCGGCCAATGCTGCCGTTCCTGGAACGGCGAACCAACACAACGCAAACTTCGGGGCTATCGGCGTCTTTGGAGCGTTTCGACTCGACTCGCTTCCCCGGGGGCACACCGGTGGCGGCGGGCAGCGACCCTTGCCCCCCCCCGTCGGCGCCGGGCTGTGCTGCCTTACTTTTTGTCGATGCCGCCGGTGGAAGGCTCGAGGCCTTCACGTTGTGACCCTGCTCGTTAGCGACGGTGCTGATCGAGAGCAGCGACAGACCGGGCGGGGAGATTGTCTTCGTGCCGTGGGCGGCAGTACTACCACCAGGACTACCACCTTCACCAGCACCCGCGCCAGCACCCGCACCCGCGGCAACGTCAGATCGGTGGTTCGTGGCCGTTCGCGGAGCGGGAGCAACGCCGGTGAAAGAGAAGACGGGGGCAACGCCGAGCGCTCCGCGGATGTCGCCTTTACCGCCGTCGCCGCCGGCGGCGGAAGTGCTGCTTGTGGTGGTTTCAGTCGTGGATCGGAAAAAGAAGGCACCCATGGAGCGGGTTGAGGAACGAGATTCGTTCAAGTCCCGGCAACTTTTCTGTGGAAGAGGGTGGACCACAACCGGTGCGGTGGACCACGCGCACCTTTCGAGGAAGAGCTACTACAGCGACAAGGACGATGCCAAGGGCAACAGCGAACCCATACAGAAGAAGCAGCAGCAGCAGCGGCAGCGGCAACGACAACAACAATAACAACAACAACCAACGACGGCAGCAGCAACAAAAAACAACTAGACACTGCAACAGCAGTCTGAAGACGCATAGGCACAGATCCAACGTGTGATATGTGCGATCAAACACGGTCTGCGTGACTTTCATGTCACCTAGTCAGTGATGACGAAGTGTCCCGAGTGCTGGACATAGTGGCTCGCTCCAGCTGATAGCGTCGCTCCGAGAAGAACTGCAACGAACGGGACGACCAGTCAAACAGAGCCGGCGGTGACACGAAAGGGAATGAGTTCTCCGCCGAGTGGGAATGTTGTGTACGCATGTTGTGTGTACGGTGATGTCTGATACTTTCGATCGCGCTAAAAAAACTCGGTGCACTAGCCGGTGGTGCCCCCGTGCACTCGGCGAAAGAATTTGCGACTGCTGTTGTCTACCGACTATTTTCGCTGCACTTGGCGACAGAAATGACGGCAAACAAAACCATTTATATATTAAGAAAGGATGGCTCCTTCGAGCTCTTCATACCGATCGGAATATCCAATATGGTGCTATGTGTGCTCATCAAACTATACTATGATGCCCTTGGAGGATAGTACTCCGTGCTCTAGTGGGCGACTACCGTCCCATATTTAAGTATTTGGCTCTGACGGGCATGCAGGAACGTTAACTTGCAGTCACTTACTACTACGCAAGCCAAAAAAGGCTCGAACGCGTACAGTAGCGGGCGGGGGCGGGGAGTGAGAGAGCATGTGTGTTTCTTTAGTTAGCACCGAGAGCGTTGACCGGTTGACCAATGATAAGACGGTCAATCTTATTCAGTAGCAGGAAAATATCGTTATCACGCCTCCTTGTCATCGGGCTCCCCCGACAGGGGGGGCACGGAGGAATTCATTCCTACAACTCTACACTTGTCAAAATCAAGTTTCAATCCTCTCGGATTATTATGACGAACATACCAGCCAGGGATATACACAGGGCGAAGCCGCACTTTAAATCGATTTATTTTTCCTCCGCCCCCGTACCAGAAAATGAGCTAAGTGGCAGCTCTCATCACGACGCAAGGAAGTAAGCACAAGACGCCGAACACCCGTAGCAGGATGCAGCACACCCTTCATGCGGCTCGCCGAATACCTCACGGTGCTTCGTGTTTGGTTGTGTGAGAGCCTGGTCCGGTGAGAACCCGGCGTGCTCCGTCCCGGCATTGTAGGGATGCGAGGTCAATGATCTAACGACTACGGCATGCACGACTATGAGTACAACCCCCCCCTCCTTCCACGGCAACCGTGATTGCCTCAAAATACTGTCGCGACAAAGGATTAAAGTACCTGTTGCCGTTCTTGCCTCAAAGTCGATTTTCGTGTAGTCTATGCACCCTAGACCCTCTCATTCACTTCTAGGGTAGCTGGAAAAAGCACCCAACAATAACGAAGCACACCCACCCATCCTATTTATCGTAGGGGCGCCACTACCATATTGTACTGGTGCTGTATTGGGCGCTCATTTTCTATCTTTCGTGACCTACGGGGTTGGTTGTGTTTGTGCTATCCTTTGTCTTCGCACTAAAAAATACCTCGTTCAGGTATCCAGTACCTATTCTTTGCCTACTTGGTTGGGCAGGGCAAAAGAACGACTTTCCGCTGTAGGACTTTCCGCTGTCTTCAGCTAAACCCATACAAAGCAAACAAGAATCGTGGAATGGGTACAGAAGTGTTATATTTCCTTCAAGGTTACAACAGGAGTAACCGTAGGAAGTATCTCTGGAAATATATATAGACTATATGCCGCTAGAGTGAGGAAACGGTTTATTAAAACAAACCTCTTGTGTCTACAGGGAGGGCTAGAGAAAGCCAGCACACTTACATACATAGATACGATCTTGCACGATCCTTTCCAACATGACGCCCGTGCGTAACAAGGTGCCGGTCTTACCCAAGGTGCTTCTACCGATAAATCGACCGCTGTCTTCACAAGCACGCGCTAGCGAAAAGATATCCGGCAAACCACGCTCTCTCTGTCCACATCTATGCAACTCACATGATATCTGGTGGGTAGTAGCCAGATCCAGCCAGCCTCTCTCGAAGCTAATATCTACCGGCGGACGGACCCCGTGATGAGCGGGCAGCCCTGTGGCCTGCTTCTACTACTGCTGTCGGATGTCACAAGACGGGAGTCTTCTCCCGCGCTTTCTCTCTCGTTCTCTCTATTGTTTGTGCGCGAGTGGAAGGCGCGTGCGGGGGGGGGGAGACGGAGAGAGAGTGTGTGAGAGAGAGGGGTTGGGGGGGGGGTCTACGGTTCAAATTTGCCCCCCTTCTCCCACTCTCACCGTACGGCTGGGCGCGGACACAATCTTACGCATACCAACGGAGAGCGGGGCAAAGAAGAAAACTGCAATCTATTTCAGAAACATGGCCAGAGCCATCATGTAGCAGCGCACGGTGCACATAGTAAAGTCGTGCGTACGAAGCGGACTCACCTCCTTCTTTCATATTTCGATGAATGGACAACCTCTCCTCATCCAACGGGTCTGTCTCCCGTCAAGCATCTGAAAACGTCCATGATGATGCCCAGAGAAGGCTCTGAGAGCTGATGGATGGATGGGTGCTACAAGAGAGGGCACCTGGAGCCAGCCATGGTTGGTAGCAAGCTGTGGCGTGGCACTGTCACAGCAGCATCAGCGAGTCGGGGGTAGGCGGTTGGTGAGTGATTATGGTACACTGCTGAAAGGTATGTAGTGGTCCGTCGGCTTTATCTATCTGTCCCTATTCCATCCTCTCTCGTGTGTTCGTACGCAACCCTGATGGGTCCTGTGTGTGTGTACTGGTGTACCCGCATTCACTCAAAATGGATTCCTTCTTCCTCCTGCGTATCTCATTGTTCGTGCGAGCAGCAAATCATTTTCACACCTCTCCAACACGGCCCCGGCAGAAAGGAACAGGGGATCAGAATGATTCGGACATGCATGCCCTCCTTCAGACCACATCTCGCAGCTATCACGTATGAATGAGAAAGTCCAGTGTTTCCTACCGTGGCACAGGTGCTTGACATGGCGCGCCAAATCACCCCAGCCGCTGTTGTGCTGCCCCTGCCGAATGCACCCAACCTGCCGAAGCAAGAGGAGGATCCACGAAGGGCCTGGGGCAGCGGACAGGTAAACACGTCCGGAAAAGGCAAATAATTTTGAAATTCTTGACCCATGTATTTTTTTTTTTCTCCCATCATCGGATTCTGTCGGCTGCCCCTCTGGCCCCTATCCTCCACTTGTACGCTAGACGACCCAACCGGGGTCACATAGGAGGGGGGGGCTGGACCCCCTCCTGCGGTTCCTGCCTGAGGTATTTTTATCGCGAGAAAGGTACAGCAATCCCTTCCCTCGCGACTTACGAAGTCGATTATGGTTTACTAACAACAAGCTTTGCAACGCATTTATGTACTAGCTGTACTGCTGCTGCTGTATAGTTCGTTGTCGCTGCTGTGCAAACAGCACCCTGGGTCCTGTAGCGTGGCCTACATGAACGTGACTGCTGTAGGCAGTAGTCTGTGTGCTACTACTGTGTGTGAAGAGGCGCGAAACTGCTGTGGGTGTGTGCTTGGCATCAGAGACACTTACCGTCCTACAACAGCATCGTATGCATAGTCTACTACCGCTGTCTCAGCACCTCTGCATCCCACACATTGTTTCCGAACATCGGAGCAAACACACTGACAGAAGTATGCTGTTCACGCGAACCAAACTCTCTCTGTTGGTCATTACCAACGTAACGAGGATGGGATGGTGACGATTGAAGCTTCCCACACCACAGCAGGTCGAGACGACCACAGCAGGACCGCAGCCTAGCATGTGCTCTTGGAGGAACAAATATAGACGGGGGAACTATACACGGCTCTGCTTTGCTTCCCTGCTTCGCACCATAGTTATCAAGCAGCATCGGAGTAACATTTATCGCCGACACCAAAGCTGTCCACTAGCCATAGCTAGCTGACCAGCTGGTCAGCTCACCTTGGGCCGTTCAATGTGGTCCTTAGTGGAGCGTGGTGTTGAAGATTTCGAATGAGTGTGGAAAAACGTGTTGTAAAACGTGTTGTATTCATCGGGGGCGTGCTTGAGCTCGTAATTCCATCACGGCATCAAGTCACGCATACGCTCAAACATCCAAAACGAATCTCCATGAATGTCCACCAATCTACCACACTCCCAAGGAAAACATTAAGAAACTTCTTGTTCCTCCGTAGTTCGTCACTGCAAATCCCGCGTATGTATACGCAATATACCACCCCCATGCTATGCTACGAGTATATCGAATATGTGAAACAGGTACGAATCCATGTCAACTGGTGGTGTGGTCTACAGCAGTGCACATGCGAGATCTCCCCCCCCCTCGGGTCCTTGCTCGCAACCATGGTGGGTGCATGGATCATGGATTTTCCCGAGGTGTAGGTGTGGTCTAACCCAAGCATCCCAGAGGAAAGGGCGTTCGTTGTGTGCAGCAGGGGGACGCATGGCGGGTCCGACATACCCGTTTATCATTTTTACACCGAGAGCTCGAGCGGGTTCGTGTGTGTCTCCCTCGCGTTCCGGGGACCCCGTGGGTGAGGATACATGCGAGCAAGGCCCGTCATGTTTCCTAATAGGTGGTGAGCTTTAGCCCTGAGAACGTCGCCGTGATACCACGCTGATGTACGTGGGCTAAAGCTGTACCTTCGTCTAGCTAGCAAAGCGTAGCCAAGCTGCCGTCGATCATATTTACAGCAGGATTGGTTGTGTAGGTCTGAGACAAAGCGGAGTATACTGTTCTTTCGAAGGCAAAGTGCGACTACAGGAGTCAACCGTTTTTGGTGTGCCAGGAAAGATAGCTAGCAGCTACAGCCGTGCAATCAAGCTGTCCGGGTGATTTCGAAGATTCGTGGAGTTAATAGCAGGCGTTATCCTCTCGTGAGGTGGGTCGATCTCGTCACCGTGACATGGCGAGCGGATGAGACACTACATGGCATCGACTATCTTTTTCTCCCACACGACCTTGTGCACATGGAGTGTTGTCTTCTTGGCTCTCTGGATCACCTTCTTTGGGCCACTCAACACCTGATTCGCCATCTTCACCCTCTCCTCACCTTTTTCGCCTCGGTTGCCTGATACAAGTGCGAACTGCATCGTGAAACAGCGCCAGCAAAGCGGTGTAGGTATCCGCCACGTTGACTCGCGTCCTCCACTTCTTCTTCCAGGTAACACTCGCAAAGGGCTGGCGATTTCATTCTTCTTGTTCCGGCCACGACAAACCCGAGGCTTCGAATGCCGTGACTGTTATGGCAGCGTTCTACAACGCCGACCGGATGTTGTTGGCGGTCAAGGTGGCTCTTAAGCCAGCCGAATACGCTCGGAAAAAGGATCACGCGCGGAAATCGCCACCCAACTGTGTGTGTAGCCAGAAAGAAACAGAGGGCGGGATGTGGGATGAGTGAGACAGTGCCAGCAAATAATTTCATTCAGCAGTACAATCAAACAGTCCTCTAAACTCGCCAGTGGACCATACCTGTTCGGGTTCAGAGGCGAACTCTTCGATATTTCTTGAAGATTACTCATCATCTCATCTTGTTTTTCGCTTTTCGGGGACCTTGCTCAAACAAACACTGTCAACGCCGAAGTGTGTAGGGTAGGAGACAGCGTCACCTCTTCCTGGCTACATCATTATTGACTGGTGATTTCCGGGTGCCGTGGTTCCTGTTCGAGGCGTCTTGGCTGCGTTGCCAGTTCCCTTGTCCTCACACAACGTCCTGTGGACCGTGTAGCGAGTAGCCATTGCGGCGACGTCATTGGAAACCTCGGCTTTTGTCGCGGCGACAGGCAACAATGTCGAGGCTTTCAATGCCGTCACTGGTGCGGCAGCCAGCCTCAAGGTAGATAGGGTATTGCATGAGGTCAAGGTGACTCGTTTAGCCAGCCGGATCGCTCGGAATAAGACGAATGGCGCTCGGAAATCGCCACCCCATTGTGAGAGTAACCAGAAAGGAGTAGAGGAAGGGATGTGGGATGGGTGGGACAATAGGTGCCTTGGACGATCAAATATTTTTGCTCCAACAGTGTGTTTATTGTTTTTCTTTCGAATTGCCTTTTTGCATTAATGTTTTCTCTTCACACGCGGGGAAGAGAGAGAAACCACGCCGACAGAACACGATTCCTGTAGACGCCCTCTGCGCCTGTCCTACCGTGTCTCTGTCCATTCATTCTACTGTCTCTCTCTCTTCCCAAAGAAAACAGCCCGGGGTTTCTCATTCCACCGGTGTGGGGAACTCTTCCTACTGTACGGAACATCTCAGACGACCAAGTTCCCAAATGGTACTCTACCATTTACTCTACCCGTTGCATTCCTTCCGTTCCCTCACCTTCGAAAGAAAAAGGGTGGGTGGGCGGGAAAGAACGCAACTTCTTGGCCTCCCAATCTGGCCAATCCTTGCTATCCCTCTCTGAGTTCACGTACTGCTGTTGTATAAATCTGCTATTCCACGCTGTCCAGCGAGCCTTCTCCTGCACGTGAACTCTCCGATAAAGTGACCATCCCAAAAGGACTCTTCTCAACCTGATACCCCGAAATACAGGAACAATAACGCCTCTGGCAAATTCGACCGTTTCAATAAACAGTAGTCTACATCGGCTATATCTGCCTCACCAAACTTGCTATTTAAATATGTGAAACATTTCTAACAGTCCATCCAAACTCGCCTGCGAACCATATCCATTCGGGTTCGGATGCGAAACCTACTCATCTCATATCGTTTTTCGTTTTGGTGGAACTGCCCCGAAACATTTTCAACGACGACGTGTGTGGGATGGAAGGCAGCGCCACCTCTTCCTGGATACACTCACAAATGACTGGTGACGCCATTGTTCTTGTTCCGGGCGTAATGGCGGCCTTACCAGCCACCTTGGCCTCACTCAACGCCCTGTCCGCTCGAGAGAACTGCCGTAACGGCGACGTCATTGGAAACCTCGGCTTTTGTCGCGGCGACACAAAAACAAATGTCGAAGCTTTCAATGCCACTGCTGCGACAGTCAGCCACAAGGCGGACAGGGTGCTGCATGAGGTCAAGGTGGCTCGTTTAGCCAGCCGAAAACGACCGGAACAAGACGAATGTAATCGGAATTGAGCAGAGGAAGGGATGTGGGATGGGTGGGACAACAGGTGTCTTGGCTGATCAAATCGTTTCACGTCAACAGTGCCTTCAGGTATGTGAAACAAAATCTATGTTAAAGTCCATCCAAACTCGCCAGTGGACCATACTCGTTCGGGTTCGGAGGCGAAATCTTCGATATTTACTGAAGAATACTTTCATCTCATCTTGTTGTTCGTTTTTGGTGCACCTGCCCGAAATATTTTCAACGACAACGTGCGTGGGGTGGAAGGCAGCGCTACCTCTTCCATTTTACACTCACGATCGGCTGGTGGTTTTCCAGATGCCATTGTTCTTGTTCCGGGCGTATTCGGCGGCCTTACCAGTCACCTTGGCCTCACACAACGCCGTGTCCGCTTGAAAGAACTGTCGTAGCGACGACGTCACTGGAAGCCTCGGCTTTTGTCGTAGCGACAAATGTCGAGGCAACAATGGTGGAGGTTTCCAATGCTATCGCTGCTCCGCAGATATTTGGAGCGGACAGAGCATTGTGTGAGGTCAAGGTGGCTCTTGAGGCATCCGAAAAAGTTCGGAACAAGACGAATGGCGCCCGGAAATCACCAGCCAATTGTGAGTGAAACCAGAAAGAAGTAGAGGACGGAATGTAGGATAGGTAGGACAATAAGCATTTTGGCTGTTCAAATATTTCACTTGAACAGTGCGTTCAGCCGAAAGAAAACACCTGAGAAAGTATTGGACCTTGAGCCACACGTCCAATCGAAAAACTAATATCGAATCAATGACGAAGGAAAATCTGAAGAGGACTATGGCTGAACAATGGAATTCATGCCGAAAGAACACACGTGAAAAGTATTTAACCTTGAACACGAAACACAGCACAGGTAGCAGGTCAAATCGAAGAACTATTCTCGAATTGATGCCGAAGACAATGTCAATCAATCCCAACCAATGATACATGAAAATGGTAGGGACGTGTGGCTGGGATGTTGAGACTTCCGCGACAGGGTGATTGGCGTTGATCGTGTTGTGTGCCCGGCGGTCCATGAAGGCTGGCGACGGTCCATGACAGCTGGTTGGTGGCCAATGGACCGTTGTTTGAGTTTGTGTTATCTATGATGCGACTCCCGGCACAGATGAGGACTGCCTCGTAACGAACTTGTTGCTCACTGTTGGTGTTTTTTTTTGTTGGAAACATGCTTCGGATAATCCCTGTATTCAACGCATCGAGACTTACGTGTGAAATTTGGTCGAATATTGCCTTTCTTTGTGGTTTTCAACCTCTTGATAATCGTTTGAGATTTGGATACATATATCATACGTGGCCGATCGCGACCTCCAGTCGTGCCCGAGGCTTATCATTTGTACAGACTTGGAACTTGGAACTGCCACAACGCGATGCTGAGTAAGTTATAACCCAACGCAGTCTTTCGGGCTTCAAGCTGTATGTACAACAATCAGTTTAAAGAAACGGTGTGTGCTATCATCATGATTCTCGGGTTCAATATCCTGACGAAGAGTCACCACTTGGCCAAGTTGCTTAGAGAATAGCTCACGTTTCTTGTGGAACTCTCAACAGCAACCTGCTCGAGGGTCTCGTATGTGGAAGAACCCCCCACCGAAATACCGTGAGAACGCGGTCGCTTACAAGGTCGAGCACGCGGCACCTTGAATGTCCTCGCACTTCCCTCCCCTGCCTGAAAAAAGACAGCAGAACAACATTTCAAGTAGCACCGACCGTTTACAACGACGACGACGGCAGTGATCTACAAGCGACCCGTTGTTGATTGCACTTCTTTTCATGCACTCCCGTCTTTGAGACATCTCGAAGGCACGGCTTGATACCATGAACCCAGTAACTAAAGTAGCCATAACGTGTTGTGAGCCCCCCCCCCCCCCCC